GGTACCTAGGGATTGGCAGAGAGCATGCATAGTTCCTTTGTATAAAGGCAAAGGGGACAAAAGAGAGTGCAAATATTATAGGGGGATAAGTTTGTTGAGTATACCTGGTAAAGTGTATGGTAGAGTTATTATTGAAAGAAGGAAGAGTAAGATGGAGAATAGGATAGCAGATGAACAAGGAGGCTTTAGGAAAGGTAGGGGGTGTGTGGACCAGGTGTTTACAGTGAAACACATAAGTGAACAGTATTTAGATAAGGCTAAAGAGGTCTTTGTGGCATTTATGGATTTGGAAAAAGCGTATGACAGGGTGGATAGGGGGCAATGTGACAGATGTTGCAGGTTTATGGTGTAGGAGGTAGGTTACTGAAAGCAGTGAAGAGTTTTTACGAGGATAGTGAGGCTCAAGTTAGAGTATGTAGGAAAGAGGGAAATTATTTCCCAGTAAAAGTAGGCCTTAGACAAGGATGTGTGATGTCACCGTGGTTGTTTAATATATTTATAGATGGGGTAGTAAGAGAAGTAAATGTGAGGGTCTTGGCAAGAGGCGTGGAGTTAAAAGATAAAGAATCATTCATAAAGTGGGAGTTGTCACAGTTGCTCTTTGCTGATGACACTGTGCTCTTGGGAGATTCTGAAGAGAAGTTGCAGAGATTGGTGGATGAATTTGGTGGGGTATGCAAAAGAAGAAAATTAAAAGTGAATACAGGAAAGAGTAAGGTTATGAGGATAACAAAAAGATTAGGTGATGAAAGATTGGATATCAGATTGGAGGGAGAGAGTATGGAGGAGGTGAATGTATTCAGATATTTGGGAGTGGACGTGTCAGCGGATGGGTCTATGAAAGATGAGGTGAATCATAGAATTGATGAGGGAAAAAGGGTGAGTGGTGCACTTAGGAGTCTGTGGAGACAAAGAACGTTGTCCTTGGAGGCAAAGAGGGGAATGTATGAGAGTATAGTTTTACCAACGCTCTTATATGGGTGTGAAGCATGGGTGATGAATGTTGTAGCGAGGAGAAGGCTGGAGGCAGTGGAGATGTCATGTCTGAGGGCAATGTGTGGTGTGAATATAATGCAGAGAATTCGTAGTTTGGAAGTTAGGAGGAGGTGCGGGATTACCAAAACTGTTGTCCAGAGGGCTGAGGAAGGGTTGTTGAGGTGGTTCGGACATGTAGAGAGAATGGAGCGAAACAGAATGACTTCAAGAGTGTATCAGTCTGTAGTGGAAGGAAGGCGGGGTAGGGGTCGGCCTAGGAAAGGTTGGAGGGAGGGGGTAAAGGAGGTTTTGTGTGCGAGGGGCTTGGACTTCCAGCAGGCATGCGTGAGCGTGTTTGATAGGAGTGAATGGAGACAAATGGTTTTTAATACTTGACGTGCTGTTGGAGTGTGAGCAAAGTAACATTTATGAAGGGGTTCAGGGAAACCGGCAGGCCGGACTTGAGTCCTGGAGATGGGAAGTACAGTGCCTGCACTCTGAAGGAGGGGTGTTAATGTTGCAGTTTAAAAACTGTAGTGTAAAGCACCCTTCTGGCAAGACAGTGATGGAGTGAATGATGGTGAAAGTTTTTCTTTTTCGGGCCACCCTGCCTTGGTGGGAATAGGCCAGTGTGATAATAAAAAAAAATAATAAAATATACAAAGTACAGTGGAACCTCAAAATTCGAACGTATCACATATCGAACGTTTCAAAAATAGAACCTTTTTTTCGAACCAACTTTGTCCCTATTATCGAACGCGCCCCTATTTTCGGACCACCAGTACTGGACCTGTTCGCCAGCCCGCTCTGTCCACGTCCCTGCGCAGGCACCGTGAGCCAGTCTGGCTTTGTTTATGCTTGAGTGAACACTAACCTGCGCTCTCATTCGAACATTTTACGATTATTTCATTGTGTTTAGTGCTTGTGGGGCTGTGAAATAAGCTACCATGGGCCCAAAGAAACTTGTTAGTGGTACCCCTGTGGTAAAGAAAGTGAGAAACACCATAGATGTTAAGGAAATAATACAGAAGTGGAATGATGTCCAAATGGTTGTGCAGAAGTACCACCCTGAGCAAGCTGAAACAAGCCATCTTTGCAACAAGTTCAGTGACAGAACCATGTCCCATTTTAGGGAAATCTTAAAGATTCACCAGAAACAGAGGACTGTGGACAGTTATTTTGTGAGGCATTGGTCCAGTGACTCTCAAGTTGGTCCTAGTGGCATTAATAGACAGAGAAGGGAAGTAACCCCAGAGAGGACTTTGATACCTGAAGTCTTCATGGAGGGGGATTCTCCTTCCAAACACTAACCCCAACTCCCTCTCTCCTCCTCCCTATCTTCCAGATGCCATCACCAATCTTCAATAAAGGTAAGTAAAAATGTTATTTTATATTTATATACATAATGGGAAGTACAGTGCCTGCACTCTGAAGGAGGGGTGTTAATGTTGCAGTTTAAAAACTGTAGTGTAAAGCACCCTTCTGGCAAGACAGTGATGGAGTGAATGATGGTGAAAGTTTTTCTTTTTCGGGCCACCCTGCCTTGGTGGGAATCGGCCAGTGTGATAATAATAATAATAAAATACATAATTGAACAATAGTATTTATTGTATGTAAAACTGTAATTAATCTCGATAAAATGTATTTTTTTTGTGAATATTTTTGGGTTTCTGGAATGAATTAATTGTATTTCCATTATTTTTTATGGGAAATATTTCTTCGATTTTCAGACTTTTCGAATTTAGAACTAACTCCTGGAACGGATTAAGTTCGAAATTTGAGGTTCCACTATATTTATAGGTCCCAGTAATGTTTTGGATACACAGGAGTATAGAAGAAGAAGAAGGAAGGAGGAAGGAGGAGGAGGAAGAAGGAAGAAGGAAGAAGCTCCCTTGAAGCAATGTGACAAGCATCCGGGAGGGCAGTGGTGAGATGTGGGATGTCATTTGATGGGCACCAGCGAGGGTGCAGAGATAAGATGAAATAGTGCAGAGATAAGAGGAGATAAGCTATGACATTTGATGGGCACCAGCAAGGGTGCAGAGATAAGGGATGACATTTGATGAGCTCGTATCTCTGTCTCTGATTATCTGTCTCTCTGTCTGCTTGTCTCTTTCTGTCTCTCTGCTTGTCTGCCTGTCTCAGAGAGAGCCACTGTGAACCAACAGGTATTCATATGCATTATATCTACAAGTACAGTATAGCACTTCAGATTTTTTAGGTTATCCTAGGTAATTTACACTATGTATAATTGTACAGTGGACCCCCGCCTTACGATCAGCTCCCAACTCGACCAGTTATATAAGTGTATTTTTGTAAGTGCTTTTGTACGTGTATTTTTGGGGGTCTGAAACGGACTAATCTAATTCACAATATTCCTTATAGGAACAAATTCAGTCTATAACGGCACCCGAACAGACTTCTGGAATGAAATGATATCGTAAGGCGGGGTCCACTGTGTTTGTGTGTACCTGTGAGACAGATAAAAAGAGAGAGACAGAGACAGATAGACAGACAGGTAGACAGAGACAGAGATAGATAGAAATAGACAGAGATAGACAAACCCTAAACTTGGGGTTAACATCACTTTCCTCTTGAAAGGGGAGTGTTAATATGACATTACATCAGTGAATCCTTGGTGTGTGCCGCACTGTTTGCTCGGACTGGTGCTCAATTTAACTGGCACTCCCACAAGGTACTAAGTGGCCCCAGATTTTTTAATACGGTGCACACCAAGTGTTAAGACCCATTCTGTGCTGACCAGGCATCTCAGGCCAATCGTGCCAAATTTGGAGGCAGGAAAAATAAAACCTATATATACGTTTGGGGTGCTAGCGGTAAGAATGTACATATACGTTTGGATGTTTAGGGGTTAAATCAAGGCGATGTCTTAAGAAAGGTTGGAGGGAAGGGGTAAAGGAGGTTTTGTGTGCGAGGGACTTGGACTTCCAGCAAGCAAGTGTGAACGTATTTGATAGGAGTGAATGGAGACAAATGGTTTTTAATACTTGATGTGCTTTTGGGAGTGTGAGCAAAGTAACATTTATGAAGGGATTCAGGGAAACCAGCAGGCTGGACTTGAGTCCTGGAGATGGGAAGTACAGTGTCTGTACTCTGAAGGAGTGGTGTTAATGTTGCAGTTTTATAACTGTAGTGTAAAGCACCCCTCTGACAAGACAGTGATGGAGTGAATGATGGTGAAAGTTTTTCTTTTTCTTGCCACCCTGCCTTGGTGAGAATCGGCTGATGTGTTAATAATAAAATATGTAGTGTGGTACTGTAACACACCTGGAGTGTGCTTGTGTGTATACCACATTATTCAAGTGATGGTAGACTGAGGCAAACACTAATAAAAATAGTGAAATTTTTAATAATTAAGCAAGACCACTCAAGATATTTCCAGCATTGGTAATTAATTATCTGATAATTACCACTGATTACATAATTTATGATTTACAGTGTGGTAATCAGAGTAAAGAGCGAAAAAAAGAGATTTACGAGATAAAAAATAAAATAACTATACACTTCAGTTATCATGAATAAAGGATCAAAGAACAGTTGTAAATAATCCTAAGCTGTTGACAGAGAAAATTAGGCAATCATTTTTATTTTCAGTGTAAAAAAAGGGACCTCAGGAACAGACAGAAAATTTGGAAATATATCAAATTGGTTTGCTTACAAACTTTGTAGATAATTTCAACAGCTAGTGGCTTCACTTTTATTTAGGCAGGTGGGGATGCTATGGCTTGATGGGTCATCAATGAATCGTGATGTATCTTCTGTAAAGACAGCAGTTGTTGGTGAATGTATTTTTGTCTTCGTGTAACCCCACAGACAATATGAATGTAATTAACGTGTGCATATACAGATGTAAAAAAGACCTATATACATTATTACGACATTTATTAAGATGTTTCAATCACCAGGGGTGAAACTTCTTTTTCATAACTATCCTAATACCTCACTTTTTTTTTTACACATGTCACCTCATCTTGGATTACATTTTACAATTGTTTACACTGCAGGTGCAATGGCTGTGGCATTAGGGAGTGGAGCAGTCGGAGTGTTCAGCAATAGCTCTGCTTTATGGGAGTTGATGCATAAAGCTGGAACCATATCTGGTGATCGTGTCTGGAGATTACCATTATGGAAACACTACTCAAGTCAAGTTACAGGTAAATTTCTTGATATTTGATTAAGCATTAATTTTAGTAATTTTAGAATAGATTATTATAAATGAAGCATTGATATGTAATGCATTAACAACAGAAAATTTATAAAAATTGTAGTGTTACTTTTTAATGTAGTATATTTTGTTCATGAACTTACCATTGATGACTTTATATTTAGCAAATGACACCCTGCATCAGTATTTTGGTCTTCCTGTGTTGCTCTCTACCATCATAGTCAAATTAAATTAATTTATCATGAACATTTTTGTAGTGTACTTATTCTCTAAACTGCAGAGCTGTCTTACTGACGTGCTGTGTCATCAGAGCTTCAAGTTTCCTTTTTTCATCACGTTTTGTGTAAATACGGTAGAAGTAATGGTGTATAGTACGTACTGACACGACGATGAATAAGACAAGGGGAAACACTTGAGTATCTTTATTTTAAAGATGTTTTGCCAACTTATGGCTTTATTGATTCAATACAGATTCAATAAAGATATCAATTTAACCCTTAAACTGTCCACACGTAGATCTACATGCACGTGCACAGCGCTCCAAACGTAGATCAACGTTTTATTTTTCATTCCTTCAAATTTGGTGCGATAGGCCTGAGTCGCCTAGACATGAAAGAATGGGTCTGCGCACTCAGTGTGCGCAGTACCTTGTGGGAGCACCAGTTCAATTGAGCGCCAGCTAGAGCAAATAGTGTGGCAAACGCCAAGGATTCACTGATGTCATGTCATATTAACACTCCCATTTTAAGAGGAAAGTAAAAATAGGTTAGATAAATACATGAGTGGGTGTGGGTGAGTGTGAGTTGAACCTGACTAGCTTGTGCTACTAGGTCAGATGCCGTGCTCCTTCCTTCAGTGGATGTGACCTGACTAGGTGGGTCAGTGCTCTAAGCCAGGGGGTGACATGGACTTGCCTTGCATGGGCCAGTAGGCCTGTTGCAGTGTTCCTTCTTTTTTATGTTCTTATGTATTCGGCAGACTAGCCAGCTGGCTGGCTGGCACTGCCCTAAAAAACTAAACAGATGACAGCTAAGAGACTGAACAGTCCCTGGCTAACACCCAGCATCCTCAAATCCATTAATACAAAGCACCTATATGAAAAACAGTACAGAATGCGTCACATAACCAGAGACCAAATAAAACGTTACTCGTCAGTCCTAACCAGCCTGATAAGAAGGTCTAAAAAATTGTATTATGAGAACAGATTATCCAACTTAAAAGGTGATGTAAAAAAGACTTGGAAAACCCTATCAGAAATTCTAGGAACAAAAAAGATATCACGAAATAGCACAATTGATCTAACAAAACCAGATGAACCCCAACTCCCACCAACTGAAACAGCAAACAGACTCAATGAATTCTTCTCCACCATAGGAAAAAACCTTGCCAATATAATCCCAAGTTCAAATACCCCACCCATTGACTACCTCACTGTCAACTACCCGAACACACTGTTCCTAGCTCTGACTAACCCAACAGAAGTCTCCCTTATTATCAACACACTAAAAAACAAGACAGGAGATTTAAATACCTACCACCCTTTATATACAAAAAAGCATCGCAAGTGCTGTCACCAATCATTACAACACTCTTCAGCAAATCCATCGAATCCTCTACCTTCCCTACAGTTCTCAAAATAGCAAGGGTCACCCCGATCCATGAAGGAGAAGACCAAACAGACTTGAATAACTTTAGGCCAATATCCAACTTACACCCTCTCTCCAAAATCTTCGAAAAATTAATTCATAAGCGAATCTATTCCTACCTCATCTCCCACAACATACTCAACCCCTGTCAGTTTGGGCTCAGGCCTAATAAAAATATGAATGATGCTATTATACACATGCTAGAACAAATATACACTGCACTAGAGAAAAAAGAAGTCCCACTGGGGATTGTCATTGATTTACATAAAGCTTTTGATACAGTTGACCATGACTTGCTCCACATAAAATTGTCGCACTATGGTATAAGAGGGCACTCCCTCAACTACCTAAAGTCATACCTCAACAACAGAAGCCAATATGTGTACACAAATGGAGAAAACTCTTCTTCACAGCCAGTTACAGTTGGTGTCCCACAGGGAAGTGTCCTTGGCCCTCTTCTCTTTCTCGTTTACATAAATGACCTACCAAATGCATCACAACTACTCAAACCCACACTATTTGTAGATGACACTACATATGTCTTCTCTCACCCGAGCCCAGTCATGCTAGCCAATACTGTGAATACCGAATTACAGAAAATATCTACCTGGATGAGGACTAACAAACTTACTTTCAACATTGACAAAACCTACTTCATTCAGTTTGGTAACAGAGCTACAGATGTCCCACTTAACATAATGATAAACTGATCACCTATCACAAAGCTCACAGAGGGAAAATTCTTAGGAACCCACCTTGACAGTAGACTCAAATTTCAAACACATGTTCAACAAATTTCCAAGAAAATCTCCAAGACCGTAGGCATACTATCTAAGATACGGTACTAGGTTCCACAGTCAGCCCTCCTGGCCCTATATCACTCACTCATTTACCCCTATCTCACCTATGGAATTTGTGCATGGGGCTCAACAGTCAGAATGATGATAAATTCTCACTATAGGCAGCACACTCCATCAATATTCAAAACTCTAAACCTACTCACCATACAAAACATCCATATTTATTACTACACCTACTACATACATAGAACACTTAACTCGGATATAAACCCTCCCCTCAAACTTCTTACCAACCTCAACAGAACACATGACCATAACACAAAGCACAGATCACTCTTTGATGTTCCTTGTGTCCATCTCACACTATGCAAAAACTCAATGCACATAAAAGGCCCAAAAATCTGGAATTCATTACCTGTGAATATAAAAGAAACACTGTCGGTTTATAAATTCAAGTCTCTACTTAAAAATCACTTACTCACCCACAACTAAATAAATACTGAATAATTGTATCTCATAAATGTTTAACCTGTGACCCAATCAAACTTTGTTATTTTTAATTACATTACCTAACAGAATACTCCATTCTACTGAATGCTCAGCAACACAGTAAATGACCATATGACCTGTCTTTGTAATACTCATTTGTGCTTAATTGTTATCTGTTTACAATAATGTTTACCACTGAATATATCATTGCTTAGTTAATCTTAAGTTAATTTTAAGCCTGCTCATAATGCTCTGCATACAAGGGGCTTTGGCATGTTACACTTAACCACTGTATTTTTTTGTACTTCAATGTATCATGTTCAAATTAATAAATAAATAAATAAATTATTATTATTAATTTAGGGAACTGGAGCACAGATCCAGTTCCCTAGATCAAGAGCCCATCACAACGCACATACTAATATGTAATGATAATTATAACAACAACAACAACAACAGCAATAATAATAATAATAATAATAATAATAATAATAATAATAATAATAATAATAATAATAATAATAATAATAACAATAATAACAAGGAGAAACTTCAAAAGGCTGCGAGTAGTTGGCGCCACCATCAGCAAAACATTGGTAACCACCACTAGTACACTTTTCACCAGTCTAGACTTAGTAGTCTATAAGTACATGTACTAGGTTAAGTTTGCCTGAAATGCCTTGGCATGATAGTGGCTTTCTTTGCTCCAATTATATTATAATATGTAAACATGCATTGTAATCTTTGCAAAGAAATAAATATTTTATTTATTTATTTATTTATTTATTTAAGGAACCTCCCTTGAGGGGGAATTTTGCATCCTGAAATTTCCTTCATATCCAGAAGCAAAAAATCAACCGAACAATGGTTCGTATCCTGAAAAATTTGGTTGGGCGTTTGTAAGCCGAGGTTCCACTGTGTACGTCTTACGAGCCAATGTGTTTGATGTATATACTATACTGAAAAATTCCAGCAGCTTCAAATCAAGCGGGAGAAAGCTGGTAGGCCCACATGTGAGAGAATGAGTCTGTGTGGTCAGTGTGCATAGTACAAAAAAGTTCCTACAGAAAGTAGTGCATAGCTTTTATGGTTATATTCTCATTTTCATAGTCACATTTAATAGAACGGAAAACATGTTATAGAAATGGAGGCGATTTTGATTGGTTTTACTATGAAATGAACCTTGAAATGAAGCTCAAAGTAGGGGAAATGTTTGATTTTTGCCAATGTTCAGGAGTAAACAAATAACGTCATTGTCCAATAAGTGTGTAACTAGCCATTCTAATATGCAGTCATGAATGGGTTGACATTATTTATACATTTATTACAGTATTGCAGTAGTCTGCATAACAGTAAATCTTCTATTTTTTATTTGAATAAAAATTCAAAATAGAAAGCAAGAGTAATATCAGAGGGGCCTGGAGACGTGACTGATGAACAAAGAAAATGTTATTTTAGAGCCAGGAGTGTTTGCATTGTTTATTCTGAACCCTATTTTGAAATTGGCATATAATTTGCGTGAAATTGGCCAAATTGCCAATTTCTCACCCCAGCCTCTCAGGAGGCATGACAGAATAATGCTAATATCAAATCTGCAGCTTAGTTATCTATCACAATTCATCTAAAATGACATAATAAACAATATTAATAACATAGAAAAATGATATATACTCTAGAATGAATAAAATAGGCCATAAAATGGCAAGTGATGGCAACGCCGGCAGTGGCAGAAAGCATCCGCCGTTTACTTTCCCACTCTAGTATCTTCCCAGTCCATAACCCCATACCTAGCCTGTGTTTATCTATGATTAGTGGTGAGGTTGTCACATATATAACCACAGGTGTGGTCAAGACAGATGTATATATAGGTGAAGACATGATCACTGTGGCCACAGTGGTGGTGGTGGTGGTGGTGGCGGCAGCCACAGTGGTGGTGGTGGTGGTGGTGGTGGTGATAGCCAGCTGCCTCACACTATGCTGCTGCCTTCTTCATTTCTCTAGCTTTTCTCAGAGTTTCTAATTGCTTCCTGAGCTTCTTGCTGATTGTACGTGAA